TTATCTTTTTATTGCCCTCCCTTCCTTCCTTCCTTCTTCTCTCGCTCCTTCTCACTCTCTCTTTCTTTCTTCCTTTTCTTTTTCTGCTTCTATTTCCTTACACTTGTGGTAAAGTCGGGGGGGCAATAAAAAGATAAATTAATTTTATAAGAAAATATGAACAATAGAGTAATGTTAAAAACATACAGAGTTTGGGCCTCCCTGGCGGCGCAGTGGGTGAGATTCTGTAACCACCCCCCACCCTCTAGGTTTTCTGAGTTCTCTTCATGAACCTCACACATGCCCTTCGCTTTATAATTTTCAAAGAAAAGTCACACCCGTTATGTTGGTCCTCGTGGGATGGGTGAGGCCAATGATGACCACTAATACATTGTGCAGATGAGGAAACGGAGGCCCAGAGAAGGGCTGTGGCTTTTTCCAAAGTCACCCTGCAAGTGAGAGGTAGAGTGGGCTTCACCCCCTTCTTCTAGATCCCTCTGGTCTGGGGGTGCCCTAGGGTACCTGGGTGCCTGGGCCGGAGCTTTGGAAGTCAGGGGGCTGAGAGCAGAAGGCACAGCTGTGGACTCTTTTGGACCTGATGAATCTCTATCTTGCTCTGAAGCTCTCTGCCTCAGTTTCCCTGACTGCAAAAGAACAAGGAGTTCTCAACTGCAGAAGCACAAGCCTGGCCTTCTCCACCATCCTCCACCCCTTCATCCTAAGGTGGAAGGAGGGACCCTTCCAGGCTCCTGGCTCCCGGAATATGGTCTGGGCCTGAGCCATGTCCTGTTCTCCGTCCTTGCTTCAGGCCTGGCCCCCCTTCTTGGTGCCCACACACTCCCCACAGGGCCCTGGCTTCTTTGTGGACACGCTTAACCAGTGCACTGACTGGACGGAAGAGTGGGGCTGGGAAGCAGGCACAGCTCTGGCCCAGGCTCTGGGAGCCTTGGGCTCTGGTGGTCCCCCGTCCCGGCTCACTGTGTGATCCAGAGCCGCCAACCAATCTCCCTCTCTGAGCCTCAGTTTCCTCCTCTGTAGCACAAGAGGGTGAGAGATGCACCTCCACAGTCCTGCAGAGCAAGTATTAGCTGAGCACAGAGCTGCTTTAACAGAGATTCAAGCTAAGTTCCGACAGCGTCATGACTGCCTCGTGGACACAGAGAGGAGTCTCGACAGATTACCACCCAGGGCCTGGAAAAGAGCTCCTAGTCTGCACCTGGAGGCTCGCTCGCCACTGAACAGCGGGTGACAGTACTTCACTTCTCTGGACCTCGGGTTTCCTCTATGTGAAATGGGAGGTCACTGAGAGGGCCCCAGATGGCCAGTTTTTATAAAAACCACCACAAGAACAACAGTTTCTCTGGCTCTGCTTCTGGCCTAGGGGATGGAAAGTCAGAGGTAGCCAAGAACAGCAGTGGGCTTACGTGGGCCCAAATACCCAATGTGATCGCTGCCCCCCCAAACCTTGCTAAAGGCTGGGTGCTCTTGGTGAATGAGATCCAGAGAGGGCAAGTTTCAAGGAGGGAGGGCAGGGCCATTTGGGAGCCTAGAGCAACTGGCCCGAGGCCAGTGTGGCCCCTGGGAGGGCCGGAGCTGCCTGCTGGCTCCACAGACTGAGAAATGTGGCCATAGAATAATAAGGGCGACAATAATAACAAGCACCACTTATGAAGCATTCACCTTGTGCCAGCAATGTTAAGGGCTTTATTTGAATTAACTCATTTAAACTTCAGGCAACCCGATAAGGGAGGTTCTGTTATGATCCCCTGGTTTGCAAATGAGGAAACTGAGGCACAGGGAGGTCAAGGAACATGCCCAAGTTCAGGCAGCCAGCAACGGCAAAGCTGGGATGTGAACCCAGGCAACCTGGTGGCAGCATTAACTCTTTAACCACTGTGCTGTACTGGATCCCTAGAGAATGGTCTAGGATACATGAGACCCTTGATCCCTGTCCTGGCTGGCAAGCCTTCCTGCTGCTCCTCTCCCTGTACCTATGAAGCACTTCCCAGCCCCTGACTGGGACACAACAGATCAGGGAACACATTAAAAATACAAGGTCAGGGAATTCCCTGGAGGTCCAGTGGTGAGGACTCCACGCTCTCACTGCCGTGGCCTGGGTTCAATCCCTGGTACGGGAACTAAGATCCCACAAGCCATGCAGCGTGGCCAGGAAAAAAATAAAAAAAGGAATACAAGGTCAGCATCCCGTTGTTAAGCCCCACATCAGGCCCCATGATGCAGCGGTGCCGTCTGTCTCCCCTCTACCCCTCTACGGGTGGCTGAATTAGGCAGTTGCCACGACACACCGTGCAAACAGCATCCATCATTTGACCCTGCTTATGGGATATCGAATAAATGCATACAACTATCTATATAGAGACAGGACAGGAAGGATGCTCCCCAGGGAGTTAACTGTGGCTACCTCTGGGTGGTAGAGTTTGTAGTTTTCTCCTTAGACTTTTCTGTACTTAAAAAAAATTTTGGGGGGGCTTCCCTGGTGGCGCAGTGGTTGAGAGTCCGCCTGCCGATGCAGGGGACGCAGGTTCGTGACCCGATCAGGGAGGATCCCACATGCCGCGGAGCGGCTGGGCCCGTGAGCCATGGCCGCTGAGCCTGCGCGTCCGGAGCCTGTGCTCCACAACGGGAAAGGCCACAACAGTGAGAGCCCCGCGTACCGCAAAAAAAACTAACAATAATTTCTTTTTACAATCACTTGTACCATTTCTTCAAAATGTTTTCTAAAAAAATTTTTATAGGGACTTCCCTGGTGGCACAGTGGTTAGAACTCTGCGCTCCTGATGCAGGGGGCCTGGGTTCGATCACTGGTCAGGGAACTAGATCCCTCCCACATGCCTGCTGCAACTAAGAATTCACATGCCACAACTAAGGAGCCCGCCTGCCACAACTAAGACCCAGTGCAACCAAATGAAAATAAATATATATTAAAAAAAGAAAGAAAGAAATCTGCAAGCATCTCAACAGAAAGAAAGTTTAAAAAAAATTTTTTTATAAAGCATCTTAGGGCCAAAGCCAGGTTGGAACCCAGGTCTGTGGGGCTCCAAACCCTTAATTCTTTGCCCTTTTCAGTCACACATCACTGACATGCTGCTGGGAGGTGGCCTGGGTGGGCCACTCCTTCAGGCTGAGGCTGGTGTCCTCCCAGGGCAGAGTCAGCTTCCGACATCACCAAAGCAAGGGTCAGCCACCCCCGGCTACCTTCCTTTGGGGGAGGGTGGCAGCTTGTACATTCAGCCTAAGCAGAATGATGTGAGACATGCTGAGATTAGTTAGGCCATCAGCCCACCTCGGATACCTTAAATCCCACCATTAACACTTAATAGCAATAAGTAACAATTATAAATAATAATTGGTGAAGGGATTACCGGTGGCTTTTTTTTCTTATCACTATATACTAATATTTTGACAATGATCATATATTGTTTTATAGTAAGAAAAATA